GGGGAGAGGAGAGGAGAGGAGAGGAGAGGAGAGGAGAGAGGAGAAGGCAAGCACTGCGTGGGAGAGGAGGATGCGGCTGCGCGGCGCGGAGAGCGGGCGCTGGAGCTCAGCGCAGCCGGGGAGCTGCTAATCCCTGCGCCTGCGGCCAGCTGCCTGCCGCGGCCTTGAGTGACGGGGGCTCAGCTAACGTGGGCAGAAACAGGAGCTCGCGGAGAAATTTTCGGAAGCCATACCTAAGGCGAGGAGAGCAAGCCTCTGAATACATGCAGATGGGAGCAGGGGCTGCCGAAAGCAAAGCAAACAAGGCAGGCGGGGGGAGGCCGCCGGTGCAGGAGCCGGCTTGCCAGGAGACACCCCGGCGGGGGCTCGGGCTGCACCCCATCCTGCTTCTGCCTAGGCAAGGGCCCCCCACCCCCTGAGCCATTAAGCTCAGACGCAGCAAGTACCTCTTGTCACAAGAGGGTGAGAATCTGGAGGAGGAGGTGAGGAAGCGTGGTGGATCACAGAGAACAGGACGCGAGCGGGACCCGATAAGCCGGCGCGTCCCATTCCGGCGCCCGCTGCGCCCCGCCCTTTTTTTAATTGAATTACAATTGACACACACTATTATGTTAGTTTCAGGAGCACAACGTAGCGATCCGATATTTTTATGTATTTCCAAATGATCACCAAGACCATCGTCACTATACAAAGTTATTGCAATTATCTTCCCTATATTCTCTATGCTTAACAGTAAAGCCCCGTGGCTTATTTTATAACTGGGAGTTTGTGCCTCTTAATCCCCTTCGTCTATTTCACCCATCCCCCGCCCCCACCGCCCTGTCCTCTGGCAACCACCAGCTTGTGGTCTGCGTCTATGCCTTTGAAGGGGAGTCGGTGGAAGGCTCCTCTCACCACACCCTGTGGATGGACAGGCCAGGGGGCTAGAGACCGGAGGACTACTCCCGGGGAGGGCTGGAGGCCCGACTCTGGGAAGGAAAAGCGTGCAGCTGGAGACATCAGCTAGGAACTGAGCCCCCCTTATCCAGGCCACCCTGCCCATCCAGGTCGAGGCGTTTGGCCCAAGGGAAGAAGTTGAGCAGGCAGGCCCCGCATTCTGATCCCAACCCTGCCACTTGCTAATTGTGACCTTGGGCAAGCTACTTGACCACTCTGGGGTTCAGTGTCTTATTATTTGTAAACCGGGGAGAAGATTATTACCCCTCCCACAGGGTACTGAAGAAGCAGAGAAAGAAAGAGAAAAAAGAGAGACTTAAGATGATGGTGTATACGAAGTGTATAGGGCCTGGGAAAATTTAAGTTCTCAATACATCTTAGTTATTATTAGAACATTAATTAATGTGTTAGTTGTGTGCAGAGCCTTAGACCAGGTGCTGAGCCTTAAGAGCCGCAGAGGCTCCTAGATTCCATCTCCTTCCACCATCTCCAACCCGCCCCCCCCATCTCGCCTTCCTGCCCCCACCAGTGCCGGAACTAAAATTCTATCTTGCCTTGGAGTGTCTCCAGCTGTTTGCTCATTTTCCACCAGCCTGCTGTGGGCCCCCCACACACATTCCTGTGGGGCACACCTTCACTTGGAGAGTGAAACACGCACACCCGACCCACCCAAGACCCCCATCTTCCAAGTCACTTGGCAGATCAGAGGGAAGTGGAGGGGTTTTAGAGGGGGGGAGTCTTAAGTCGCAGACAGATACCCAGAGAGAGCCGAGAAAGGACACCGAGCCCTGCTTGCGAGGCCTTTCGGGGTGCTGGAGGCAGCCAGCAAATAGCAAATGTTTAAGGTTGTGTTGTTGTTGTTGTTGTTTCATCCAGCATCTGCAGTTGCTGGGTGTAACCCTAGCCTCCTTCCTCTGTGAAATGTGTGAATGTGCTATCCTCAAGCATTCCACATATTGATTCTCTCACATTTCACTGACTTGATCCCTCTCTGCCCCCATTAACCCCGCATAATGGGCACTTGCTCTTTCAAATCCAGGTCGACCCCCCACGGATGGCCAAGTGTTATAATGGTTAACCAGCCAGCCCGCGCACTCTCTGTCTCTGCTCAGAACGTACTATTCTGGAGACGAAAATGTGGGGCGTAAGGAGGAAGCCAAGGATTATTTCTTTGAACCTTCGCGTGTTTTGCCAGAGTCTAAATATGATGCTGCAGAATATGTCCAAATGTTCCTAAAATAGACCCAGCATTCCCAGAACTGGTTTCACTAGCCAGCTTGAAGTCACTCTCTGCCCAGAAGGTGGTGAGGAATTCTCACTTGATGGGGTGCTGAATAGTCAATCCTTCAAGATTAGGAAAGCTTCTTGATTTAGGCGACATTTGTTATGGAAAGATCTCGGCCCCCTTTGGGGAATCTCTCCCCTCACATGTCCTCCGCCGCTGCTCAGGCAGGTTACAGACGGGCCCACCCATGGTCAGCCTGGACCACTCTGTGCAACCATAGCTCTCCACATTCTCATTTCCTTTTCTCCAAGTTGCTCAAAGTGCTTCTTTTTAATAACTTACCATCAGCCACCTCTCTCCTCCTCATCAGCACCCACCACTCTGCCTTGAAATATGTATCGTTAAGTACGACTACGAAAGTTAAGCACGATTATTATTATTTTTTTTTAAGATTTTATTTATTTGACAGAGAGAGACACAGCGAGAGAGGGAACACAAGCAGGGGGAGTGAGAGAAGGAGAAGCAGGCTTCCCACGGAGCAGGGAGCCCGATGAGGGGCCCAATCCCAGGACCCTAGGATCATGACCTGAGCTGAAGGCAGACACTTAATGACTGAGCCACCCAGGTGCCCCAAACACAATTATTATAAATATGGAAAAGTTACAGGACCACAGTCTAACCATGAGAAACACACCAGTCACACCTAAATTGAAGGACACTGTATAAAATACCTGACGGGTACTCCTCAAAACTGTCAAAGCCATCAAAAACCGGGAAAACCTGAGAAACTGTCACAGCCCGGAGGAGCCAAAAGAGATATGATAACTAAGTATAATGCGGTTTCCTGGATGACATCTTGGAACAGAAAAACTAGTGGAAAAACTAGTGAAATCTGAATACAATGTGGACCCCAGTTAATAATAACGTGTCAATGTCGATTCATTAGTTGAGACAAATATACCATCGTGATATAAGAAGTTATCAGCAGGGGAAACTAGGTGTGCAGGTACACAAAAACCCTGTACTATCTTTGCAATTTTTCTGGAAATTTTAAAATATTCTAAAAGTCAAAGTTTATTTATATATTTTCAAAGCGACAAAAGGGGGGTGGGATGGTGATTGACTGAAATAGGCATAAGGGAACTTTCTGGGGTGATGATAACGTTCAGTGTCTCGCTAGACACTCGGGTGACACAGGTGTATCCATTTGTCATAACCTGTTGAATCGTGCACTTAAGATTTGTGCAATTCGGGCGCCTGGGTGGCTCAGTTGGTTGGGCGACTGCCTTCGGCTCAGGTCATGATCCTGGAGTCACAGGATCGAGTCCCGCATCGGGCTCCCTGCTTCTCCCTCTGACCCTCCCCCCTCTCATGCTCTCTCTCTCTCTTATTCTCTTTCTCAAATAAATAAATAAAATCTTAAAAAAAAAAAGATTTGTGCAATTCATTGCGTATGCATTTTATCACAGAAAGGAAAAAACACTGTAAAGAAATATTGAAATCTGGTAAATAATATGCATACTGAAGTGCTTTGGGAAGAGTACAAATGTCAAACTTTCTTTGAAGTTAAAGTTAATATAAAATCCTTTTTTTTTAGAGAGAGAGAGCATGGGCACGTGCGTGCGAGAGCAGGGAGGTGGGGGGAGGGGCAGAGGGAGAGAGAGAATCCCTAGCAGACTCCACACCCAGCACGGGGCCCAACGTGGGGCTCAATCCTAGGACCCCCAGATCATGACCTGAGCCGAAATCAAGAGTCAGACGCTTAACCAACAGAGCCACCCAGGCGCCCTTCCATCATATGTTTATATAATAATTAACTTTCTTTTGAAGGACATTTGAGTTGTGCACAGGGTTTTGGTGACTTGCTTTTTGACGCGGTGGCTATTGTTACGCATATATCCGTGCATCTGTACGAGTACACCTGTCGCATCATTTGCTAGAAATGGAATTCCTCGGTTAAAAATATTGTGCCAGTTTGCACTCCCACCAACAGTGTATGAGAATGTGTGCGTCCCCACACCTTGACCGACACTCATTATCACTTAATTGTTTTAATTTTCATAAATCTGAGAGGTGAAAAAAATAAGCAATTATTGTTTGCTTCCATTTGAATTTCTGTATTAGCGAGGCTGAACATCTTTTCTGTGTTTATGGCTCTTTGCAGTTCCGTTCATTGCTTACTCATTCTTCTTGCCCATTTTTTCTACTTTTTTTTTTTTTTTTGATCCGCAAGTACTCTTTGTAATACGTCTTGCAAATGTTTTCTCTTAATTTTAGCTCTCCCACAAGGTAGCTTTCAAAGCGTTTACGGTGGAAGTGTTTTCCATTTTCTTGGGTTTTGCCATTTTCCTGCTCTGTGTGTGGCTTTTGTCGCATTCCCCATGGTCTTTCTTTCACCTCACAGCCCTTTGAGGTAGATCAGACGGAAGATGTAAAAAGGGCACATTGATGGTCTCACGGTCACACAGATAATGACGAAACACTGGATTTGAACCCGGGTCTCCTCAGTCCTAGCCCAGGGCCTTTTCCATTACCAAGAAAGGGCAGGAATAGTTATTTCCACTTAAGAGAAGGGAGAACTTCTTTCTCCATGCCTGTTGCCAAGCCCTGCTGGAGACATGCACAGCTTGGCAGATGGTTCCATACTCTACAGTCATGACTACCAATCTCAACTGCACCTTACTGCTGCCCCATGATCCTTTTGGTTTCCTAATTAGTCCGTTCAAACCTCCCCCACAACAACAATTTCAGACATTCTTCACTTTTATCAAACCTCTGGTCGCCATCCCTCGCCTTCCCACTCTCTCATTTCACAGACAGAAATTATCAGGTGGGAATGCTCAACTTCCTGCCCCGCCCCTCCCAAATCCCCTGACTAGGTGGGTCCCCATCTAGTGCTCCCTCTCTCCTCCTGTCCCCAAGGGAAGGGAAGGGGGTCCCAACTTTTGCCGTTCACGCCCGGACCTGGCTCCAGCTGTTATCCCCTTCACTCTCCTGCATCTTCACCTGCTCCCTGTCTATGGACTCGAGCCTCTCCCTTCCTAAGAAATAGAAGCAAACACAAACGCCTGTCTCAGACTCCAGGTCCTCCTCCAAGTTGCTTCTTCGAATTATGCAGCTGTAAAAGCAAAGACTCTGCCTTAGAGTGGAAATGTCTGAGATGCCCTGTATACGGTGCCAAGCTGCTAATAACCTGCCCTGAAGGTAAGAGGAAAAAAAGATTGCTTGCGGTAGAGGAGATAAGGCTGTTTGCAGGGGGCGGGGGGGCGGGGCGCAAATGGGGTTTTAGCTGAGCAGAGAAGAGACCGACTTGGGAGACTGGCCTGGCTCCTGGTCCCCTTCTGGCCCACTGGGCTGGGTT